GAAGCATATTATAAACACCTATTTATTCTGGCAACAAATTTCTTACTTTCTTGTATAAACTTAAAATTTTATACAAATAAACTTTGTTTGTGCATGAAGATATTTGTTAATAATAAGAAATTTATTTGTGGAGTAAAGTATAAAATCTTATTGTTTATATATTTTAACATAAAAATATGAAAACTAACCAAAAATTTTAAAAAATAAGATGCTATATTTCTCTGTTCTAAAGGTCCCTTTAACTTCAGGAATTGAAGATGATATTAGCTCTGTGGTTGCAAGGTCAGAAGCAAGGATATCAGACCCAGGAAATTTTGGTTCCTGAATGGCTTGTGAAGTTCAAGATCCTTAAGCGTGCTGATCACATCGAGGAGGATTTGTTTTGCTGTGTTATTTTTCTTTGCTGTCAGATCATTAGCAGTATTTAAATTGTATTTCTTAAGCACTCTGCTCTTCTCCAGCCTGTGTTGTTTTAAAATTTGTTTCTAATATAAATGACAGAAGACATTTCACAGCCCAGCTCCAACTACTTTCCCAGTGTCATCTCTTTGTTTATCCACCTAACATCCCTTCCCCAGACTCTCCCTGCTCCTGGTACAGCCAAACCTCAATACTTCCATTGCAGGCCATGTCACTCATCTTTCTTGCCTGTGTAGTACATCATGTCTCCTTGTCTGGAAAGCTCTCCCTCTCTTTTTCACTAAATCCTTTCCTAGCAGCTGCCCCTTGATATTTTCCTTCCACTCCTTTTCACGTGGAATTGTCCTAGGGTTCCTACATATGATGGAACCAGAAACTCCTTCCTTCTTCTCTATATCCTGTCCTGGGCAGGTATTGTCTGCTCTGCCCTGATATATCATATTGGCTTTTAAGTCAACATGCCACACATGTTGTGAGAACCAACTGTACGCTAGGTACCCTGCTAAGCTCTGGCAATACGAAGATTGCCGGGGTGACAGAGTAGAGAAGGTGGGAAACAACAGTGACCCAGCAAAGAAGCACATTACAACGGTCCATCCTGGAGGCATATGCAAAAGGCTACAAGTACACAGATGCCGTCAACAAGCAAGGTGATCAAAGGCCGTGCCCAGTGGGTAGGAAGGAATTAAAGACATTTCCTGCTGGTCCCAGTCTGCAGTCTACCATTGCAAAGTCACATTCATACAGTTTCTTTTCATTTGGGGGAGAAGACAAAAAAGTATCTTAGAGCAAGTAGTGTTTTCTGGTGGATACCAATCTTCCTGCAGCCCTTTTCAGAACACACAAGAGCCCCCTCTGTGGCTACATCAAATCCCCTATGACAGGGCTCACTGCACTAGGGCTCTCTCCTTCCTAGCACGTGGTATAGGTGCAATTTTGAATTTTTTAAAACCTGATTGCTTGATGATTTTCTATAATGCTGAACTGAACAGCCACAAGGCCAGGTCTGTGCTTATTTTTCCCATCTTTGTATCTTCACCTATCGCAATGTCTGCCCTGTTAAAATGCTCAATAAACAGGTCTCAAAGAAGAGCCAATAAATAATAATACTATTATCAGCTAAATAGCTACATAAATTTAGATGCACTGTCTCATGTAACCCTTACAGTAACCCTATTTTAAATATTAGGTAACTCAGCCTTTCAGAGCTGGGAAATGGCAGGTTTAATATCTAAATTCGGGTTTGTCTTGCCTTGCTGAAACCACACTCTTAGCTCTACCATCGTAGGATAAGATCCATGTCCTTAATGAAAAAAGGGGAGATGGCCGATACAGCAAGTCTCCAGAAACAGCAGGAGCCGGAAACGACAGACAGAATGAAGGGTCATTTTTAGCAAGTCCATCTGATACCAAATACAGAAATGCTGAATTCCTGCCACCTCCTATTCTACAATGACAAATTGGAAACCACTTAAGCATCCAAAATAAGAAAACTGTTAAATTATGACACATCTGTGTGACAGAATACTCATCATTAAAAGTCGTAAGAATACAGAAAATGCTCAAGATAAATCATTAGGTAGAAAAGGCAGATTATAAAACAGCCTGTACACTATAATTCAATTTTCTTAAAGTACATATTGCATATGTTTTAACATACACACACACTCACATTTTAGAACAATATACACCAAAATGTCAATAGTGTTATGGGTAGTAGAATTATAGATTTTAATTTTCTATTTTTGATTTTTCCATATTTTCTATAATTACCACAGCCTACTTTAAAATTCTTGCAAGTATAATTTATGGTAAACATATAGGTAAAATAAAAGAAACTAAGCCAAAATGTTAATAGTGATTTTTCTCTGTATGGTAAAATAATGATTTTATTTATTAATAATATTTCTGTATTAAAAAATTAAAGCAACAAAAGAGGTTTATAAGACTGAAACAAATTAAATTCCCCCTCGATATGCTTTGCTAATACTCAAGTTGCAAATAGAAGTATTCGCTGTTCCTTCCCACTGCTTCCTATGTAATTCTGCTACCCAAATTGATGTTCTTAGCAACTTCTATAACATATGTTCACAGTTGTTTTAACTTTGGAGTTCCAGTCATTTGTCTAACATATTTATATGTCTCAATGATGTGGACCCTAAAATAAACAAATGGTTTGCCTCCGTAACATTTCTAACATCCTAGAGTCCCTGAGGAAATGCTAGGTTTACTTTCACAGCCAGTTTTTGCCTTTGGCTGCTCTGGGTCCTGGCTTCATTCCCAGATTAGGTCTTGGCTTCTGCTAGGAGTCAACCAGCTACTGAAAATGCAGAGACTTAGAAGCCAAAAGACTGCAAAAGAAGAGCTTGAAGAGTCAGCCAGCCTGTCAGCTAGCCAACAGGCTGTATCTGGGAGGGGGTGGGGTAGGCAGCACAGAACCACCTGCCAACCATCAAAGGGATTCCAGGGTAGACCCCAGAACATCTGGGACAAGCTGCACGAAGGTCAGGGGTGGAACTGTTCCGAACCTGAATCCTGCCTATAACCTAACAACAATTCTTCTTATTTGATTATGTTCCACAAGGGTCTTAGCTTTTATCCCCTCCGTCCATCACGCTTTCTCCTTTTTCACAGGCTTCAGTAATAACTTCTGCCATTAGCAGGTAATAAAAGTCCTTTCTGTCTTGTTAACTGCCCCAGTAGAACATGAGTTGGCCTAGTTGTCCTAAAAGTCTGTATTCAGGGTAGAGTGTATGCCTGAGATGTTTATAAGTTCCTAATAAGATAGCAGGCTGGCCCTCAACCCTCCTACAAACTCTGGAAATCAGGCCTCCTAGGAAGTCCAAGAGCTTTACTAAAATATGAGGGTTGCCTCAGTCAGCTTTCTTGCATTCACAGATCCAGAGTATTAAGCAATAAAGAGCAAGAGTGTTGAGCAAACAACATATAGATGTGGGGTACTGAGCAATAAAGAACAGAGAACCAGCCTGTCCCAGGAATCAGAGGCAGCAGTTTCAAGTACAGCCTTCCCACAATCACCATCTCTAAGTGCAGGTGGGAGGAAAACCTCTCCCAGTGGAATCACTGGGTTAATACAAGCATTTTGTTTCAGGAAGAGTTTTTTCCCTTTCAGATGTGTCCTGCATTCTGCTTATAGATAGGAAGGCAAGTAGTGAGATCTACCTAAGACCACTAACAAACTTTATTTTACTCTAAATTTAGTTGTATTATTTTACTCTAAATTTAGTCTAGGCCAAACATTTAATTTTAATACTACTCCCCCTCATTTTCTGGTACGTTCTATATATCTACATATTTAAAAGTAAGTCCACAAAGAATCTCTGTGGTCTTAGAACTGTTTAGTGTCTTGACTGTGGTAGCAAATACATGAACTTACACAGGTGATAAAATGTATAGAACTTGGGCTTCCATGGTGGTGCAGTGGTTAAGAATCCACCTACCAATGCAGGGGACATGGGTTTGAGCCCTGGTCTGGAAAGATCCCACATGCCGCGGAGCAACTAACCTGTGTGCCACAACTACTGAGCCTGCATGCTACAGCCCGCAAGCCATAATTACTGAGCCCACAAACCACAACTACTGAAGCCTGCCCGCCTAGAGCGCATGCTCCACAATAAGAGAAGCCACCACAATAAGCCTGCGCACCGCAACGAACAGTGGCTCCCACTGGCCGCAACTAGAGAAAGCCCGCGCGCAGCAACGAGGACCCAACACAGACAAAAAAAAAAACAAAAACAGTATAGAACTTAAAACACACATATTAAACACCAATGATTGCAAGTAAAACTGGGGAAATCAGAGTATGATCTTTGGATTGTATATATGTCAATATCTTGGTAGTGATATTATTGCTACAGTTTTGCAAAATGTTACCATTGGGGGAAACAGGGCAAAATGTACAAGAGATCCTTTTACATTATTCTCACAACTGCTTGTGAAACTGCAATCATCTCACATTACAAATAATCTTTAAAAATAACAGTAAATCAAGCAAACAATCTGCTAAATAAAATATATTCCATCCCCCCCAACCTTGAAAAATGTACGTCATAACCACCTGGAATTCCGGCTTCAAATTTCAAGTTCTCTCATTCCTTGGAGTTTCACACAGGAGTGTGGCTGCCCCAGGATACCCACGGATCCCCAGAGTACCCATTCCAGGTGCACCCCTCTTCTTACCTCAGGCTCCACCTGCACTATGCAAGACGCCTGAAATGCACATTTGTGGCCAGGAACACACAAGCTCTGTTTACACCCCTCTCATCCCTCAAGCAGAGCCCCCATGGCCACCACAGGCAGGCTCCGAAAACAGGCTCAGAGTCCTATGCATGTGAAATTCTGGGGTCCTACGTGTTTGGAGGTAGTCTTTGGGGTGGAGCCAGAGTGCGGCAGGCTCTAGATGGGCACATCCCCTTGGCCCTCCTAACTCTTCACATCTTGCCAAGCACCATAGTCAGAAAGGGCCGGGAACTGTGTCCAGGGCACCGGCCTCTCCTATCAAAGACTAAGGTGGTGTCAATCATTATTACCATTTTATAAATAAGAAAATTGCGACTTACAGAAATTATGCCTCTCGCAACGATAACTGGTAGCAGCAGGTTTCCCGCTAGATTTGTCGGAGTCCAGAGACCTGTTGAAATCTGAGTGTAAGTCCATTTTACTGTCTTTAAGGAGTCGACGAAAGACCTTCCAATCCCCTCACAGCTATTGTAGTCATGAGCCAGATATATAAGCTGCCTTTTCAGGACTCGTGCAATTCATTTAATGGGACAGATTATCATTGAAATTGAATTCAACTGGCATTCACTGAGAACCTACACCAGTCCTTCAGATGCTGCTCATTATTTGCAGGGCCAGCTCATTAATCTTGATTAATTCAGGTGCCAAGGCTGCAACATTAAAAAATAGATGCTAAACTTAAATAAATGTTATGCAGTCACCAATATAAAGAGTAATACTTTAGCAGGCATTTGTAAGACACTTCTAAGCATTTTTCTCTATTTTTTCATTATTTCCAGAATGCAAGAATAGATTAATTAGCTCTTAAAGAATAGATTAATTATATAGGATGATACCCAAAGCATGCCCTCCCTTGCCCAGGCAGGGAAATAGAAAAGGGACAAAGATAAAGGTAGCCGTGGAAAGAAAGAGAAGTGGAGGAGAATAGCAAGAACCTTAAGAGTTTTAAATGCCTTCTAATTTGTCAACTATAGCCATTCCAGGACCTCTTACTTCTAAACTTTAAAAAATGTCAGAGGCTTGCCTGGTGGCATAGTGGTTGAGAGTCCGCCTGCCGATGCAGGGGACGTGGGTTCGTGCCCCGGTCCGGGAAGATCCCACGTGCCGCGGAGCGGCTGGGCCCGTGAGCCATGGCCGCTGGGCCTGCGCATCCGGAGCCTGTGCTCCGCAATGGGAGAGGACACAAAAGTGAGAGGCCCGCGTACCGCAAAAAAAAAAAAAAAAAAGGTCAGATACCCTTGCTCCTTCACGTCAGAACGCCCCAGTCTGTTCCTTCAGGTGTCCTCAATATATCCTACTGATAAAGTGGTTTTCACATTGTGGGACTGACTTCACCCTATATCAAATTGAGTGAGCTGAGTGGTCCATCCTATCAACTGGAGAAAGACAAATTCTTCTTCAAGCTCAGAGGTAAAATAACTGAGATCCCCAGAAACAAGAAAAAAGGGAAACTCCCTGCCACAGAGCACCATGTGTGACCAAGCAAGACCCTAAGGAGCCTTCCTGGGACAGACCACCCCCACCACAGCTCCTCATGGCCTCCACCTGCCTCTTGTTTGTAGAGAAACTCTAGCCTCCTAAGCCTTTCCTGAGTTCCAAAGAATAAATTGAATCAGGCAAGTGAGAAAATGCAGAGACAAAGGAAAACAGTCAAGCAAGACAAAATAATAATAGTTTAGCCATTAAACAAAGTCAAGGACTTTTAGTTCCTCCTCAAGGGCTTCAGATAATATTCTGAGTCATATCCTTTGAGCTGTTTTGCAGATACTAAAACCCCACCAGATGGAAGAAGTTAACTGTATGCTGACCATAAGCAAGTAGACCCAGACCGCTTGGAACCAGAAGATTGATGATGTTGACACCCGATTACCTCACCACCAACCAATCAGAAGAGTGTGCATGAGCTGATCACATACCCGTAACACTCTCCCTCACCCTGTCTTTAAAAACTTTTCCCTGAAAACCATAAGGAAGTTCAGGTCTGTTGAGCAGTAGCCACTCAGAATCCTTGTCTGGTGCCTTACAATAAACGCTGCACTTTCCTTCACCACAATCCAGTGTCAGTAGATAGGCTTTACTGCACATGGGCAAGGGGACCCAAGTTTGATTCAGTGACACATGGACGTTTATCATGTAGCTCTTCTAATGGTCATTTGTGGAGATGAGCCTCTAAGAGGAAAACATGAGGACTTTAGGGCATGAATTGCAGCACCTTTTCTGGCAGCCTAGAGGTGTTTTTTGTTGTTGTTGTTTTTTTCTGAATTCTCTCTGCATTCCATTTACATGAGGCTATGGAGTCAGAATCTCCGGGTAAAAAAAGTGTTACTTTAGTAAGGTAGAATCATACACATTTAGGAAATTACTCTCAGAATAACTTATTTAGTTGGCAGAATCCAGAAATGTTAAATTATTTGAAAGATGTGAAGAGAGGTCACCTGCCATGTTTTTCCAGGTATAAAATAGGCTGGAATGAAATCAGTCAACGACAGGAGCTGGATCACAAAAGATTAAATAAGTAGCGAGGGGAGTGGTACAATGTCAAGGAAGAGATCAGAGCAAAGGTCAGGAAGCAGAAATGTGGGTGATACATATAACAGTGAGGCAGAGATGAGTCTTCTGGACTGGATGGGTGACTGCTAGAGCCAATAGTGCCTCCTGTCTCCACACCTGCCTGCTACCTGCTACTCCCAGCATAGCCATCAAGCTCCCTCAAAGGGCTTTTTCCTACCTACTTGAAAGGGTTACCAAGTCCAAGCTCGCTCTGCTCGCTGCACGACAGGCCAAAATCGGAGACGAGGTGCTGAGGCAAGGAACATGACTTTATTCAGAAAGGCGGCAGACCCTGAAGATATCAGACTAATGTCTCCAAAAAAAAACCATCTTATGGGGTTTGGATGCCAGCTTCTTTCTAGAACAGAGAGGGGGAGGAGGTGAGGAAGTAAAGTAAAAAGGCCGTAAGATTTGCAAATGTTTGCAGGAATGGCCTGCCTCCACGAGAGGATGTGTTAATTTCTTCCTTCTTGCAGTCAGGCACAGGTGGACAGGGTCAGGATGCTTCCCTGAACAAAGGCACTTCGGTTTAACATTCAGGCAGAAGAGCAGGGTTTGCTGAGGCAGGCTACTGTGTACAGACAGTATCCTTTTAGTGAACAAAAGCAATGGGAAGCAAAGTAAAAGAAACAGATTCAACATGTAGTCAGATTTGGTTCTTCCCTGTTACAATTCCCCACTGTCAATGTCCATTCCACAATCTTGTGGAAAAAGGGGTGATGACTGTTCTAATTGCTTTGTCAGATGGATCTTTCTGGGAGTGTCCATCATTGGCACCAGTGTTCCAAATGTTGTGTCTTTTGTTCCTCTCTGGAAAGTGTCTCCTTTATACCTCTAGACTTAAAATATTCACAACCTACAAGTTGAGAGTTATGATTTATTTGGTGGGAATTTTGAGGGCTTCAAGCCCGGGAGACAGCATCTCAAGTTAAGGAATTTAGTGCTTTTCTATGTATGGGAAGATGCAAGAGTCTGGGCTCACTGAAATCATTCCCTTGATATGGACCTCAGCTATCTGGGGCCTGTATCCTGTGTTTTCACATCCTGAGTTTCCTCAGGGCTCACCGCAGGGAGTGGCTGCAGTCTGCTGGCTGCTAGAAGGCAGGTATTCTTTTCCCTCCTGAATTTCCTCAGGGCTCACAGGCTCACGCTGGAGGGCTGCAATCGCTAATGACTGATGTGGCAGGAAGTATTCCATTTCTCAGATCCTCTCCTCTTGGTCAGGAATTTGACCGATATTTGGGAGACATTTCATGACCAACTTTTGTCCCACGGTGCTGGGAGGCTCATCCCAGATCAGACCACTCTAGGTGCTAGTTTTTGGATTAGGCCCTACTGATAATTAAAGATTCTCTGGCTCCTCTATCTAATTATGATCCAGGAGACATTTTCCCTTGTTGCTTCTTCCCATACCTAGAATCGCACTATTACAATTATTTTATGTTATAAATGTGATCTATTTCCTGAAGATGTTTAGCCATAGAAGTTTTGTTGGAGGCCTGGTTACACATTAAGTACTATAAGAGACAACATCTTATAAAATAGACGGGATATATGTAATGTAGCTAGTAACACTGACAAAGACATAATGCAGCAGGGAGACACAAAGCACAAACAATTTGGAAACAAAGAACAAATTAAAACAATGATTAATATAACTAGTTATAATCCAGTTGCAATAACAAGCGACCTATTTAACTGATTGGTCTGATTTAATGAGCCATCCGCAGTTTTACTGTACTGGCCGTGCATACTTAGACATGCATGGCCTAATCTTCCAGACAAGCATATGCTACTGGCAGGATCAACCAGTAAGAGAGAAAAAAATAAATGTTTCAATTCTGCTTACAAAGGTATAATTTACCAAATTACTATAAGTCAGAATTAGTTTAAGGGGAAGGTTTTCCTTACACCTGGTAAACACAGATTTAAACCAGTCATTTTTCAGATAAAAACCATAAAAATTATAACCATATTCACCAGTTCACTTAGTCCTATGTAACTAATCCTTTTTGTTAATAGCTTTATGAAGCCATCAGTTTTCCCATTAGAATTTTTCAATTTCTTACCCAGTTCAGCATTACTAAGTTTCTAAAAGCCAGAAACTTTTATTTATCCAAAGGTCCTTTCTGTAAATCTCCCTGAAGAGGAAGCATTTTTGCAAAGGCATCAGAGTGAAACCATAACTGTCTATAATGACAAAAGACTTAAGAAGGCACGTTTAAATCTGATTACAATTACAATTAACAAAGTAACTTGGTTACTGCTATGACATACAACACTTTCAGATAATAACTAGAATTATGACTGATAACATTTTACCAGGACATACCAAATTTTTAGGAACTCTATATACTCTCTAGAAAACCTGTATCATTTGCCATACAATATAACCTAAGAAGATTAATTATGTATTTGATGACACTTCTCATGTAGTTCAACATACCAAGTGAACCTAATTAATTAATATCTTACTTTAGAGTGTTTTAGGCCCCTTTGGAACATCCCAAAGTTAGCTAGAGGTCAAAGGAACTTCATTATAATTTGATTTGGGAAGTTTTGTCAAAAAAAATGTATCAAAAGGGTTTAAAACACTTAGATAGCATAACAGGTCACTGTGAAACAACAGCTATTCACTTAGCCAAAGTAACAATAAAAGATTTCAAAGTCAAATACAGATCACTTAAAAGGTAAAGAAACTTAAAATCTGTTATCAAAGGCAGTTCAACATCTTAAGAAACCTTGTCTTCCTAACAGAGAAAAAAGCCAAATTCAAGTCTGTACCAGCTTACTTTTAAAGTTCATTTACTCGATTAAACTTTTTTGTTTGTTTGTTTTTTTGTTACGCGGGCCTCTCACTGTTGTGGCCTCTCCCGTTGTGGAGCACAGGCTCCGGACGCGCAGGCTCAGCGGCCATGGCTCACGGGGCCCAGCCGCTCCGCGGCATGTGGGATCTTCCCGGACCGGGGCACGAACCGTGTCCCCTGCATCTGCAGGCCAGGCGGACTCTCAACCACTGCGCCACCAGGGAAGCCCTAAACTTATTTTAAACTTAGTCAATCCTGACCATGTACAAAATTCTTTTCTCAGGGTCCACTTTCCAAAAAACCTTCCATCACTTAACTTACTTTAACACAATTCTAACTTTCAAGTTGTCGATTATCTGGAGAGACTAATTTTAGATAGACATTCCTAAAATATAACTATTTTTTAAATTTACCTAAAGCTCTTATCTCATTTGCATTTTCTTTCCTGAAAAGTTTCTTCACATCAAGTTACTTTCCTTGCTGACAAATTTGCAACAGATATAACAAGATTTTATTTAGCTTATTAAACCTAGGCACAATAGAAGTATTATACTTAATGTTGATGACTTTAAAGACATGTCTATATTAATCAGATCAACAAACATTAAACCAGGTATTAATTTAATACTGAATATTTCCCAGTTCATGTGAACCAGAAACTCATTTAGCTCTATTTCTCTTGTATTTAGAATTGCTTGGTTTGTAAGTGCTTACTTTTCTTTAGGCCAATTAAACAGAGCTCATCCACAAATTAATCTCAGGAATGTTATCCAAAGACAAAGACACATACAAGGACACAAACAAACAGAGGGACATCATAGTTCTCATTACAAAATTTCAGCCCTAAGTCAGGTACAGCAATGGAAAACCCAACAGTTTACAAAAAGAGGTGGCATTAAAATTAGGTTTCTGGCAGATGGAACAAATCAAGTTCACGTGTCTAGATGACTGAAATTTTTTACAGAAAAGACACTTCGTTTTTTAATTTATCCTCGACAAGTCAATTTCTAAACTATTTTACCCTCTTTTCAAAGTTTGCATTTTAAAAAGATGGCAGAGATGAGGGTTCCTGAGAAGACCATCTCATCTCAAAGATACAGGTGAGTTTTTCTAGGATGACTTTGTTTCCCCTTTGTTTAATATTTACAAGCCTCTTAAGATAAATAGGGAAGGTTTTGGGAGTAGTATCTATTAGGAAGTCAATCAACTTCTCCCCACTGTCAAAGTTGCCCAGGGCTCCTGTGGGGAAATTAGAATCAGACGCCTCAAGTCTAAGGGAGTCCCCTGGCCTCTTACAGGATGTTGGCACACGGGAAATTGCCCTGCTGCAGAAGTGGCTCCCGGTCCAAATTTGGTACCCTGTTGGGTCTTAGATGGTGATACTAAACCAGGCTCCTGTGCTCTGGGGGTAAACATACAAACTTCTATTTGATCCCCATGGGTAGGGGAAACAGGAGGCGGTGAATATGATGGTGGCACGGGGAGGGGGGCAGTTGAAACAACTGCTTGTGCAGCCTGCTCTTTTGCAAAACACTTCTAACTGCAAGATCCTATAATAATTGAGTGAGCTATTCAGGGGCTATCGCTCTTTTGATCCTATGTATTGGGTCCACACCCTATTAAAATAGTATATCATGTCTTTCTTAGTCAAAGGCTCACGGCTATGTTTTGCCCATTTATCTAATATACGCCCCAAAGGGCTCTCCTTCGGGATAGATGGAGTATTTCCCATTTTTATAAGTTTGATAACACCAAAACACAAAAAGGAGCAAACGAATTCCAACGCAAAAGGCCCAAACAAATTCTAGCATCGATGCACACAAAACCAAAACAAGACCAAGACCAAAACCAACGAACCGGTTCCCGAATCAGGTAGACTTACCCTACAAAACCAGTGAACTAGCTCCCAACGATACGGTTCCAAATCAGGTAGAGTCCAACAACAATTCCCCCTCCAACAGGGTACTCCAATCAAACAAGTTGGCTTATCCTGTAAAGGAAAAGCCCAGATTGAGAGGGGAATATGTTCCCAGTATATGCACACCTACAAAGTCTGTTGACTCGCAGCACAAAAGGATACACAAAACCAAGGCCAAAACCAACGAACCGGTTCCCAAATCGAGTAGACTTACCCGACAAAATCGAGTCCATCGACTCGCAGAAGTTGGTCGGTTCCTTGCTTCATCTGCCAGGCACTGGAGTAGCTGGTGCCGCTTCAGCGAATTTTGAAGGGAAGATCCTCAGGACAGGTGGTCCTGGCAGCTGCTAAGGCCTTGCTCCAATGTTTCCTGAGAGGGGCCAGCTAGCCACGAGCAGCAAGGCTCCTTGCTGGCTAAGCCAAATTTCTTACCAAGTCCAAGCTCGCTCTGCTGGCCGCACGACAGGCCAATAAATCGGAGACGAGGGGCTGAGGCAAGGAATGTGACCTTATTCAGAAAGCCAGCGGACCAAGAAGATGGTAGACTAGTGTTTCCAAAAAGTCCATCTTACGGGGTTTGGATGCCAGTTTCTTCTATAGAACAGAGATGGGGGAGGAGGTGAGGAAGTAAAGTAAAATGGCCATAAGATTTGCAAATGTTCCCTGGAATGGCCAGCCTGAGGAGGGGATGTGTTAATTTCTTCCTTCTTGTAGCCAGGCACAGGTGGACAGGGTCGGGATGTTTCACTGAACAAAGGCACTTTGGTTTAACATTTCAGGCAGAGGGGCCGGGTTCCCTGAGGCAGGCCATTGTGTATAGACAGTATCCTTTTGGTGAACAAGAGCAATGGGAAGCAAAGTAAAAGAAACAGATCCAACGTGTAGTCTGATTTGGTTCTTCCCTGTTACAAAAGGAAGCCCAAAGATATTATGCCCTACAGCCTTGTATGACCTGAAGTCTGGCTCTCTCTTCAATTACATTTCCCACCATTTTTTCCCTAGTTTATTCCACTCATCCACTTTGGTCTGCTTCCTGTTCCACAAATACTTCAAGAACTCTGCACTCACTCTACCCCCTGCCTGGAATGCCCTTTCCCTAAATAGGTACACAGCTCCCTCCCTCAGTTATTCAAGTCCCTATTCAAATACCCCACCTTGTCCAAAAAAACTTCCTTAACCACTCTATCCTAAATGGCACATATATTCATCTAAATTGCTCTCTCTCCTCCTACCCTTATTATTTCTCCTCAGTAAGGGTTACTAATGACACCATGTTATTCTCTTTGTTTGTTGGCTGAGCCCCATACTGGCTTTAAAATCTAGGAAAGCAGGGACTATTTAGGTTGCCTGTGTACCCACAGCGCCTACAACACACCCAGTATACCCAATAGCGTGTGGTATGTTGAAGCCCTTCATATGTTGATGTCTTAACCTCAGTTTAATTATATCTGGAGATATGGTCTTTAGGAGATAATTAAGGTTAAATGAGACCATAAGGGTGGAGCCCTAATCCAATAGGAATGTGGTCTTATAAGAAGAGAAAGATCTCTCCTTCTCTATCTCGCTCCCTTCTCCCCCTCTCCCCTTCTCTTTCCCTCTCTCTCCCTACCCTTCTCTCCCTCTCCCTCAGCCCTTACCCTCCTCCCTCTTCCCTTCTCTCCATTCTCCCTCTTCTCTTTACCTTGTGAGGACACAGCAAGGTGGCCATTTTCCAGCCAGGAAGAGAGCTCTCACCAGAAACTGAACTGGCCAGCACCTTGATCTTGGATTTCCCAGCCACCAAAACTGTAAGAAATAAATGTCTGTTGCTTAAGCCACCCAGCCTGTAGTATTTTGTTACGGCAATGACTAAGATAGTAGCCTCCTGATATTTCTGTTCCACAAAATGTCAGAGCTTCTTTCCTGCTCCAAGAGTCTTTGAGAATACTATCCTGGGTGAAACAAGAGAGCAACTGGTGGTGGGTGGTAAATAGGACTGTTTCCCTTAGAGACGCTGACTGCAAGTCACATATCTATCACTGAGGCAGCCGGCATAAGGACCCCTCTGAAGAACATTATGGGGAGGGAGGTATAATTTCCCTTGGGACAAACATCCAATTTTCAGAGTTACATTGTGCATTCTCACAGATGAGGAGGGCCACCCTCTGCCATTTATACCAGTGTACTAAGACACTCCAGGAAAAGCATGTTAAATGGCTTCCATGATCAGAACATCATTTTGAGCCAACATGTTATCTGTATATTTTTACTATAAAGATTATGTAACACTTTTGTAGTCATAAAAATATTAATTTTAAAAGAAAAGCAGGATATATACACATTCAGATATTATAATCATAACAAATGTTAAAAATACACGCAATAAAATCATAATAGCAAATCATCAATGGTTGCCTTGGATGAGGTTAGCTAATTATTACTGAATACTTCCTGGAGCCAGACGGTTTATCTGGGTGACTCATTTCATCTCACAGCAACCCTATGGTATAGTCACTATTAACATTATCTCCATTTTACAACTGAAGAAACAGAAGCACAGACAAGTAAAGTCACATTCCCAAGGTCATACAGTTAGTTGGTGGCACAACTGAGATTTGAACCTAGTCAAGTAGACCCTAAATCTGTGCTCCAAACCATACACATTCTGCCAAATGTATGGCATTTTACTCTGTCCAGTTCCTCAGTTTTTATATGGTAAGCATGCTTTACTCTTACTATGAAAAAAAAACTTAAGATTCTCCACATTTCTTGTTTGTTGTATAGAAAAATAAAATAGTATTAAAGGATCAATATACCAAATTCAAGGTGATATACAAAGTATATCCTAAAATTATAACCTGTTTTATTGATTTCTGCCTTGCATGAATAAAATTCCATTGCCCATTTCTTGCTGAGACTGTTCACTGAGAACAGGCAACTGCATATGTCCTGATGGATTGACCCATATCTTGGAAAGAGAGCCTGCTGCGACTGCATGTGCAATCTGAATCATGATTTTCAAAAGAATTAAACTAGAAAAAGAAAACTACAATGGCATGGTATGTGACTTAAAAAAAAAAACTGTTGAAACAACTTTAGCTTTTCAAAATCACTATCCAATTCTATTTAAATTTTTCTGGGAAAAAATACATCATTTAAAAAGTACAGCTTTTTAATTGTTAAATTTTCCTGAAAGAGATACTGACTTTTAAGTAAGAAAAATTAAATAAGATGTCATGGTATCAACTGAAAATAACTAGAAGCCCTTTTATAAAGAAATCTGTAGAGAAAGGAGTATATTGAAATCTGTATATGAGGTATACTCAAAGAATCAGTGACTGTAAATTCCATTTTACAGAATACCCAGTTTGGATAAGGATCTAAGGAGGGCAGTATTTTGGGTAAGTTCTGGTAATACAGCCCAAATGATATTATGCACAGGTACTGTCCATGAGGTAGTCTGTGTCTCCACAGCATGCTTTGCATGATCTTAAGGAGAAGATCAAAGTTTTAAGTTTACTTCTTATCAACATTACTTCATAAAGAAAAACATACATATATTGGAAACGAGACAGAAGTTTTAAAAATTCTTAAATATTTATTCAGAGTTGGAAAAGATACATCTCATGAACAGTTGCTGAAAGATGACTGAGTATGGTAAAGCCATACTTATTATTTTACTTGAAGAAAAGCCTCCTGCTAATTGTTACCCAGCCACTTATCCACTATTTTATATATTTTCATGATTCATCTATTAGATTTAAATTAACAGGACTATAGTATAGATTCTCCTATAAATAGTATACCCTTTATAAGTACATACTGTACTTAATGACTAATAATTTCTCTTTTTTTGCTGTTAATTTCTACAAAGTTGATTAAATTGCATTCTTAGTATCCACTTAATTATGGGTGTAGAATAAAATGCTCCCAAATTACATGTCTTGAACTGTAGAAAATCAATTTTGGTCAATTAGGATGGATTCCTCCCTCTCAGATGTTGATAGACTATGCTTGTTCCTTCAAACGCATAATGATAAATTAATACTTTTAATCATGAAATGAAATTACAAATGTAACCATACATGATAATTCTAAAGGTTTCTTCTCTCCATCACACTTATTAAGGCATATCTGAACAACCTGTTGAAATTTGGCTATGCAAAAAAAAAATCCTAATGTGCACATTAGGTATGGAACTAATGCTGAACATTGACCCCTGTCTTATTCTAGCTATAAAAAATGTTAATCTACAGAAATATGATCTAATTGGAGAAAAAAGTCCTATGCATCTCACTAAGGGATGATTTTTAAAAATATTTTGCTTGTTACATTTAATAATTAGTTGAATATATTCAGTAGAATTATGTAATCTTTTTATTTTAAAATACTGATATTTTAAAATGAAAGGAATTTTTCTGCAAAATTTACTCTTAGTTGTCCATTTAAAAATACCTAGGGGCACTTGAACAAAAAGTATGAAGAACATTCCAATAAAGATTTTTAATTTAATTCTAAGTGCAATGGAAAATTCGTAAAGGTTTATCATGAGATTATCAAAGTAATAAGATTCACATTCTTAAAAGATTATGGTGGTTGATATACGGGGGAAGAGGTTAAAGAGTGAAAGCAAAGGGACTGGTTGAAAGGCAGTATCTCATCCTTTCCTGAGCAAAGGTGGTGAGATGGACCGGGTTGGTGACTATAAGAATTGAGAGAGGAACTGGATATAAAATATATTTTAGAAGTAAAATCAACAGAAATTGCTAATGGGTTTGATGGGAAACATGTCAATGGGATGAGTCCTAGGGTTCTACTTTCTTTTGTGTTTTGATTGGACAATTGAATGCACAATGGTCTTGTTGAATTAAGAAGCCTGGAAAGAGGTTAGAACTGGGCGACGTCAAGAATTCTATTTCTACATATTAAGTGTGAGTTGCTCATCAGCTGTTTAGCTGAGCTTTCAAGGAAGCTATTGGATATAAAATGTGGAACTGCTAGAGATCAGAGCTGAGGATATAAATTTAGATTCACCAATATCAGATGGTATTAAATCCATGGAATTAGAAGAAACCATCTATGGAGTGACAGTGAATAAAGAGAGAACTTTTAACTCCATCAAGATGCTCTCCTTCATGTAGGAGTCAGGCAGAGGAGGAAGAGCGTGTAAGGAGACCAAGCAGTGATAGCCAGTGAAGAAGGAGGAAAAGCAGGAGAGAAGGGCATCACAGGAGGCAAGCAAAGAAAGCCTTTCCAGACACGTGCACTAACGTGACTACCTGAACCATACCTCCTCTTGGCCCATACCTGAAATGAGCTCTGTACAGCAAAAGAGTTTTAAATAAAACCTATAACAGAATAACTTTGTAAAGGGAGAATAAAAAGAGAACTAATTTGGGTAATGATGAAAGGGGCATCCTATCCCTTTATTAACCTGGTATTTATTAACCAGAGGTTAATTTAGGGCTTGTAAACCTGAGACCCAGGAAGAGGAAGTTGAGAAAACTGTTTCCAGATCTCTCAGCACGCCAGGATCCTGAAGAAGAGAATCTTCTTCACTTGCAGAGGGGTTGTCACTTCAGGTTATGGCTTGGCCAACAAGTGCCAAGTTGAACATTCAGAAACTTGAGAAAATGGCAAACTGAGAGGGAAAAAAGGCAGGGC